TGGCACAGATCGTGGCCCAGCGGAATGAAGCGAGCTCGGCTCCTACCTCAACCCTGGGATGTGGAGTTCATGCCAGCAGCTGGAATCACAGGCTGGGAGCTGGGTGGACAGATTGGAGCGGGACGGACCGGCCACGGCATGGCCCAGCCCAGAGAATACGGGATCCATGTGGCTGGCGAACCAGGGCCTGGCAATGCATGATGCCAAGAACAGACGACCACCTAATTATGGTCTTGCGGTGGGCTGCGGCCACGATGGCATCACCGAGGACTGGAGACGACCTTGGCATCGTGAATCCAAAGTCGGCGGGCGGCTCGCCATGGAGCATGGCATGAGTGAGCTCGCAAGAACTGACGAGCCAGCCACCGGCCCACCCGAGCGACAGGTCCACAAGCCCAGTACCGAGACCAAGCCCATGCAATGAAACTTCTGGACCGAGCCATAACCCAGGTCGAGGAGTTTGAAAAGCTGCAAACTCGCCTTATCAGGGACCTTATCGGGGACAAAACCGAGATTGAACAAGCGCGCCATGAACTCATGGAGACGCTGCAAAAATACCGACAGGAAAAGAAACTGGATCGGAAGACGAGGGCAGGCAGGAAGATCCCACCCCTGATCCCCACCTCTCTCATCCCTCACCAGTCGTCAAGGCCGCCCCACCCCATCGGCACTAGATAAATCAACGCTGTCACGCTTCCCGGAAAACCCAGCACAAGACGCGCAGCCGCCATCGCCACAGCCTCTGCCGTCCTTTGAGCAGGCCGGCGCAGCAGCAGATCGGTGAACCCTGACCCCAACCCCTGCCGCAGCAGAGTCCTTCTACCTATTCCCATGACAGGTACCGAGTGTCTAGACTGACGACGGGGCGGAATAGTTGAAAGAAGCTTCAGGAGAGTTCTTTGGGGGTTGTGTTGGGTCTGGATGGGTTGTGGAGGTGATGTGGTCGGGTGGTGGGAGGCAGGGTCGTGTTGATCAACGGGATCCCGCTACGTTGTGAAGGAGTGAGTCGGTTCAAGAGCGGTGAAAAGGGAGTGGCCAACTGACTGCGAGATTGTGGATGTAGTCGGTTACTTCCTTCAAAACCAATAGGGGTTCCTACCTTGACTCCACTGCAATGCCCCGATATTGGGTTCGCCTCCGCTCCGTCCCACAACTGGAGACGCGTCGGCTCAATGGTCTAGTGGTATGATTCGCGCTTCGGGATGGATTCTGTCCGCCCTCGTCTAGAAACAGACGAAACTGTGCGAGGTCTCGGGTTCGATCCCCGATTGAGCCCTTCGTTTCACGACATGTCTAGAGCATTGCTCTCAGGATTGTTTTTTTGGATCTTGGGCAGACGAGAGATTGTTGATTTGAACGCGGAGTTCGGACGCTTTCTCCAGGTTATTGTTCCTTGGAGGTTTTGATGCCCTTCTTTTCGCCGACTTCAACAACCTTTCTCGTAGCTACAGCATGATAATTAATGTCCGACCTCGCTTGCGCTCTTCGCTGGCCCTGAATTAAAAAAAAAGCCATATATAACCAGTTAACCCGCGTATCCCTAAAGATCACTGCCTCCCTTTTAACCGAAACCACGCGTAGGCGTGTTGGTCTGGAAAAGCAGTTCCAGCTGGGCATAAGTAATGTTCTTCGTCTCAGGGATCTCGATCCACAAAAGCACAAAGCCGATGACGCAGAACGCGCGCAGAAAACGAGCACGATCTTGCCCCCAAGGTTGCCCTGGTCGGCGTTGAACATGTAGGGCACGCAGAAGGAAAACACCCAGGTCATGATGGCATTGACGAAGAACCCCAGGCCCAGTGTCTTGGAGCGCAGGGCTACCGAGGGCATCTCGGCCGCGGCGATCGGGTAAGCTGTTCCCACGCCCAGGTTGCTGCAGCAAGCGGCTATGATGAGGGCGACGCCTACAAACCTACACTTGCTGTTAACAATGCATCTTAGGAGGATCCCCGAGCCGTGGCACGTACCGAATAGCAGTGGAATTTGCCGGCCAAAACCCTGCGATACCCATTGCAAGAAAGATAACGCCAGCAACAACAAAGCTGGAAAAGATGGCCGTCCGCCGGCCAACCTTGGTGATCACCACCCAAGAGATCAGAGATCAAAGTACACACCATGCTCATCCCGACTCCAATCTGGTTGATGGTCAGCGACATATCCGGGCTCATGCTGGCCATGATGAAAAAATAGGTCGAGTTCGACACGAGGGACACCCCGATAAACTGCTGCAGCGTGTTGAGCAGCGCGACGATCCGCGTGCGCCGCCAGTTGCTGCCGCGGAAGCACTCGGCGTAGGCCGAATCGCGGGCGCGCGCGACAAAGGACTGCTCGTGCTGGATCGTGGCGCGGATTTGTTGGATGCGGTCCGCGGTAGAGGGGCCAGACGAGCCGTAGATGAGCTTGGATGGACCGTTCAGCGGCGGGGAGTTTGTCGCGCGCGACGAGGTAGACAGGGCTCTCGGGGATGAAGGCGCCGACGAGGACGGCAAATCCCGCAACGGCCCATTGGCAGGCAAAGGCCAGCTTGAAAGCCCAGGGAGTAAAGTCGAGTACGCGAGAGAAGACAATTGGGCTGGCGATCATTTGGCCAACAGTCTGAGGGGTTGCGCGTGGTTAGTGTTTCTTCGGGACCGGGGAGGAGCGTTGGCAAGCTCACGATGAAGAAGGGGTAAAACCTCAGGAGCAGGGTACGGAGGCGAGGCGGCGAGATTTCGGACACGTAGGTCTGGCACTACGACATCATGATGCCCATTGCGCACCCAGCGATACCTATGGGTATTATCAGCCAGGGGTTCAAGCTGACAGTCGTGAGCGGGTACACCATTGGGGCCACGGGTGATCGGTATGCGGCTATCTGGTCGAAATGAGTGTAACGTTGGGGAAGGGGCAGTGGGGAGGTCTGGGAAAGGGGGGAGGGGGTTTGGGGGTAGGCAGCCCTCTGTACTTGTTCTGATGGAGACTGGAAGTACCCGGGAGCTCGGTTCTTTCAAGTATAATGGTAGATGCAGAAGGGATTTTCTCCAACCATGTTTCTTTTCATTCAATTGTCTTTTATTGTTCGCACTAATTAGTTAGTTATTCCACACCGCAATACACTTGCCGATTTTCAAGTCTCTGACCGTGCTTCTCGTCTTGGTCTCGGCGAATCAGGAAAGGCATGAGAATATCAGCGCGGTTATGCAATGTCAAGCGGGTATGCCTTCAACGTCTAAGCGCCGGCATGCAGGGGGCACGCCATACTGCCCGACTCCCGCCCGTGCCGCTTGTGGCCCAATCATATTGGAGGGCAGACACTGAGCAGTTCATCAGATGATGAAAACCTATCAACTTGATGATCTCTTCTCCTGGCTCATTCGCCTTGTTGACGTTCGATGTTTGGGATGGAAACGGGGGCACAAGGGACATGGCCGACTTGGACTGACAACCAGGGGGCAACAGCCGAAGGCGTTCGGTTAGGCAGTCGTTCTCGAGAGCCTCGAACAACTCTCGGTCCGACATGGTCGCAGGATGTGGCCGCAGTGCTCCAGGGCCCCAGGCATAATTATAGGAAATCAAACTGGGCGATCTCTCGTGCTCTAGCACCAGCTCACCCACTCGTACCCCACCCTTTCTCTTTCCCTAAGAGCATGTTCGTACTCCCTGGGCGTGGCAATGCCTGTAAGGGAAAATGGTATCTAACAATATAGGAACCGCCCCCACGGGGAAAGATATATAAAACCAAGCCAGATCCCAAGGCTGAGACGCCGGTACCTCGATCCAAGTGACGTCCATGTTAGATCTGATATTCCCCCTTGGTCTTCTCTTTGTGCTCCGGCCGGTCCCTCCTGGTCCACCCTCCACCACGAAAAAAAGGTTGGCTCTCCGTTTCCAGTTGGGCCGCGACACAGGTATGATATGGCCATGGTTGCCTTGGCCCATGGTCGATGTCCCGGCAAAGTGGAAGGCGAAATCCCAGCCAGATTCTGTATCGAATTTGGTTGAGGTTTGGGAGACTAGAAAAGTACTTAATGGCTCTGAATCCTGGTTGTTAGTTAGTTTCTTCTTCTCTCGCGGGCACCGACACTCCCACAACTTCAAGCACCCCCATCCAACTCCCCGCTCCCAGCCCCCGATACTGTTCCAAACAAATTCAACATCTACTGGCACACTCACTACGCTCACAACACCGTCGCAGGCGACCATCACGGTCCCCCACCCAGCACCCTCCCCGAGGGGTTAGTCTGGCCTGGTCCATAAGGAATCTCGGGGGCATCTCCTGTACCTGGCTGTTTCTCTGCCATCGGTGACGGGAGAGGAAGCTTTTACATTGTCCATCTCGGTTTCCTTTTCGATATAGGTCAGATTGGGTTATCGAATTCGCGAAGTGCTTGCTGGCTGCTTCTATCCCAGAGCGGTTGGGTGCGAAAATCTAACAAGAAAGGCACGCAATTTACAGAGGGCCCTACCAAAAGCTTCCCCTCACCGCCCTGTCTGCCAAGAGTACGCTACCCATGGTGGGCGGTGAGGGGAATCTTTTGGTAGGGACCTCCGTACCAGACGGGATTCGGAGGACGAGGCTGGCGGCGATGTCCGTGGAGGACCAGCAAAGGATGGTGGTAGTTAGTTAGGGAATAACTAGTGTTAGATGTGTGATGAGTAATGCAACTTCGACCAAGTCCAAGGTCAATGAACAAGGAAAGAGAACATCATCAATTTGAGCCCATTTTGACCGTGCATTGCGTGGTGCCAATATTCATCAATCCACCATAACATCCAACAAATACATAGGCACACACTTGGGTGGGACTCTTCAGGCCCCGGTCTTTGGAATCATGCTGCTTGGGAAAAGAGGGGAAGATGGGGGCGTGCCTAAAGCGGGCATTGCTGGCTGGCTGCCAAGACTCGCAATCAATCCAATCGTTGGTAGCGTGCAACTATTCTACATATTTGAGACTCCAACTCCCCGAGTTCCAATTCTTGGTACAACTGCATGCCAGTCTCAATCAACACTTGAAGCACACCGTGACACCAGCATGTCTGAACCCAGCACCCGGCCCCTCGACAGCCTGCCGCTGCTGGTCCTGACGGGCATCGCAGCAGCGCTGTGCCCGCACTGCACCGAAGACCCGAGCCTCCAGCCCTGGGAGACGCCGATTTACTTTGGCGGTGGCAGCGCCCTGCTGTCCCCCACGTGCGCCCTTGCAAATCTCGCAGCGACCTGCAAGGACCTGAACTCCATCATCACCCCCATTCTCTACCACCAGCCCCAGTGCGACCCCGGGCAGCTCATCAGTCTCCTTCGCACCCTTGATCGTCGGCCTGACCTCGCTCGCCGCGTCAAAGTCCTCGGGCTTGACTACGACTGCGACCATGACATCAAAGATGAGCACGACCGAGCCTTTGTTCTGGATCTTGTCGCTCGCTACGGGCAGCCCACGACGCCCCAAGCAGACGCCGACACCGAGGATGGCACCTTACGCAGGCTCGCTGAAGACGAGAGAGTGGATGGAGACTACCCCATAAATCTGCTGCTGGCCATTTGCCCGAACGTGGAGAAATTCAGCACCGGCCTAGATTATTTTTGGGACTTCAGTCTCCTCCGGCCCGCCAGCCTCATGCACTTGAAGGATGTCTACGTCGCCCACAGAGACACCGAGCTGGGAATACACCTCAAGGCTCTCTGGGGATTGTATCTCGCCGCCCCGCACTTGGAATCCTTCACGAGCTTTATGGTGGCTGATATTGGACCGGAACCCTTTCCCCTCGCCAACTTGCGACATCTCCGCCTCGAGCAGAGCGCGATCTCGGCTGGGTGCCTACGCGCTCTTTTGAGCTCGTGCCCCCAACTCGAATCTTTTTTTTACGAAGCCGGTGGCGGACAGGTCTCACCCGATCAGTTCAGTGTCACGAGCCTCAGGAAGCTCCTGTTACGCTATGTGCCGCGGTTGAAGCGTCTAGAGGTGGATTTTCAGTACGACGCGGGGATGAGCGATTGGGAGGATCATGACGATGCGGACGATGGTCTCGACCCGGACCCTGCGCCTGGCTTCGCCTCGCTCTCGTATCTGGAGAAGCTTGTTATCGACCCCGAAAACCTCGACAAATTGGGCAGGAATGACCCCGTGATTACGCTTTTCCCGCAATCCCTAAAGACCTTGCTGGTCACCACCCACGATATTCCCTCCAAGATTGGGGGCGAAGAGA